CCCCTTTTTCCCCCTTGAATTGTTCGCCGCCCTGAGTCCTCCCGGAGAAGGGCGGCATACAAATAATAAAATTCTATTCTATTCTTCTATAGGCATTAGAGCCAGTGTTTTTACTGGGATTTTGTTATGCAGTGCCTTGGTTCTACATCTGATAATTTTAATTGTATTTTGCTTTATTCACGGGGAGTGAACGCACACAGACACACACGAGAGACACTGGGTCTGTCAGTTGCCTAGAGTTACGTACTAAAGATGCCCATTGCTGCACATTTTCAAATGAAATAAATACTTGGATAGGAGGCCACTTAGAATGGACAGTGTTACAGGCTAGTCTGCTAGACAGGCATTTTTCTATCCAATATTCTATCCCAACAAATTATTTTGTCTTCCTTTTTTTTTTTTATTCTGACAACAAGGGAGATGGTTCAATTTGGTCTAAGGGCTTGATAATATATCTCCATTCTTTGTTGACACTCTGGACTCTAGTCCAGAGTTTGAGACTGATCAGTTTCATATCAGGCTCATTTTTTGCAATCCTTCCCATGTTGTATTTATGATGGGCGTTTTTTGTTTGATCTTCCCTAGGCCTACAGAAGATGACGGAGTACAAGCTTGTCGTCGTTGGGGCTGGTGGCGTGGGCAAGAGCGCGTTGACAATTCAGCTCATCCAGAACCATTTTGTAGATGAATACGATCCTACAATAGAGGTAAATAAGATCCTATCAAGAACGATGTGGTGTCTGCCGGGAAACCGCTTCTGCACTTCGTGCTGTCTTCTTGGAAACCATTTCTGGACTTTGTGCTTGACGTGGGGGGGGGGGAATCTAACTTTGATTTTGGGTTTTGCTTGATTAGATACCGTATTTTTCGGCGTATAAGACACACCTTTTTCCCTCAAAAAAGAGGGTGAAAATCTGGGTGCGCCTTATACACGGAATGCAGCATTTTTGGCCTACCGAAACCCCTCCCGCTTTGCAAAATGGACATGCAGAAAGTTTGGGAGGCTTGCAAAGTACTCCTGAGGGCCGGGGAAAGAGGAAAAAGGGGACAATTTTGCCCCCCCCCCCGGACCACTCTAAGACCCTCCCAAAGCTCTGCATTGCGCCCCCCCCATTTTTTTTTGCAAAAAACGAGGCGTGCAGAGGCTTTGGGAGGCCTGCAGAGTGCAAAAACTTTTAAAAAAGATTTACCTCTTCAACATCGTGGTGTGTCTTATACTCCGGTGCGTCTTATAGTCCGAAAAATACGGTAGGTTTGTGGTTATAGAAGTGGCTAGCATATTGTACAGATAGTCCTAGACTTCCAGGGGTTCATTTAGTGACTGGTCATAGTTTCAGTGGCACTGAAAAAAGTCACTTGTAACCATTTTTCCCACTTAATGCCCGTTGCAGCACCCCCCCATAGTCATTTGATCAAAATTCAGATGCTTGGCAACTGCTGATTCATGCTTACGACCGGTGCAGTGTCCCGGAGTCTCACTTTTTGAAACTTTCCGGCAAGCAAAGTCAGTGGGGAAGCCGGAAATCACTTAACAAACCGTGTTACTAACTTAACAGCTGCAGTGATTCATTTAACAACTGTGGCAAGAAAGGGCGGAGCAAAACTCTGAACAAATGTCTCACTGAGCAGTGGAAATTCCAGGCGCAGTTATAGTCATAAGTCAAGGCGTTCCTGTAATTCAGGCTAGGTCTTTAGTGAACCTTCATTGCTAGTTTGGTATAGAGCAGAGTTTTTCAACCTTGGCGACTTTAAGTCCTGTGGACTTCAACTCCCAGAATTCCCCAGCACAGCTGGCTGGGGAATTCTGGGAGTTGAAGTCCACAGGACTTAAAGTCGCCAAGGTTGAGAAACTCTGGTATGGAGCCACTGAGAATGTGGGGGGGTTACATAGTTGCATAATGTGGCCTCATAGTTTACAACAAGCCCCGCAGTTTATACCACATTTTAAAAAAACATGAGTTGTTACTGTGGTATTGTAAAACCTCTGAGTTTATCAGCTGATTCTGTGAGGAATTTCCACTGAAATTCCACATTGGTTCCACAGTCTTGTCTATGTTTATCTTGTGACAAAATCACACACACACACACACACACACACACACACACACACACACACCAAGGTATTAGATAGCTGTTGGCTATCTAATATTAGAAATTTTATGTTCTTTCAAAGAGCATTGAGCTGGAGGTTGGCACGATGCCATCCTGATCATTTGAACGTCACATAATGCTCGACGAGGCCTTTCGCTTTTGTAACAGGGTAAAATAGATGGCAAACAAAGTCTAATAAACAGACAAATCAATCATCATTTTCTTTTAAGGTGGAGTCTGGGAAACTGAATGGAGCTAGCAAGAGTGTTTAATGGCCAGATGCCTTTCCTGTCGCCAGGGCAGAGTTTTGTTCAGCAGCTATATTCTCATTGTGCCCAGAGAGAGAAAAATATCTGTCTCTACCAAGGATCGAACTCACAGCCACCTGTTTGTGAGGCAACAGCTCCACCTCTAGGCCACCGGACCATCCCAATAAACAGAAAACAATAAATGTATTAGTTTGGCAATAGCACTTAGACTTATATACCGCTTCACAGTGCCTTTACAGCCCTCTCTAAGCGGTTTACAGAGTCAGCCTCTTGCCCCCAACAATCTGGGTCCTCGTTTTGCCAACCTCGGAAGGATGGAAGGCCGAGTCAACCTTGAGCCCGTTAGGCTCAAACTGCTGGCAGTCGGCAGAATCAGCCTGCAGTACTGCATTCTAACTACTGCGCCACCACAGCTCAGCAAGTAGATGAACCAAAAAAAACGGTGCATGCTTGCAACATTTTATTTTGCAAGCCCCCCCTAAAATCCTCAGGGATTCAGCAGTCTGTAAATGTGAACAATCATCGTACAGGTAGTTCTCAATTAACAACAATTCGTTTAGTGACTGTTTGACGTTACAATAGCCCAGAAAAAAAAAAGACTGATGACCATTTTTTCACACTTAACAACCGTTGCGGCATCCCCATGGTCATGTGATCAAAACCCGGACACGTGGCTCATATTTATGACGGTCGTGGGGTGTGTGTGTCATGTGATCACCTTTTGCGACCTTCCGACTAGCAAAGGCTAATGGGCGAACCAGATTCACTTAACAACGGTGTTAACTAACAACTGCAGTGATTCCCTTAGCAACCGTAGCGGGAAAGGAAGCTAAATGGGGCAAAACTCACTTAACAACTGTCTCGCTTAGCAGAGGAAATTTTGGGCTCGGTGGTGGTCGTAAGTCGAGGACTACCTGTATATTTAGCAAGAATCAGGCTGTATAAACCAAACCATACAATGTTCTAAGCCCAAAGCAAAAATACGAGGTTTTACAACAATGAATGAACCACGTTTTTGGAGCCAAATTGGATGAACTTGAAGTTTAACTGTTAAACTTTTGATTTTTATGAGTTGTTTCCAACCTTGGTTTCAAGTTAAATCGGGGGGGCAGAGGGACAGTCCTTAGCAGAATCTAACATTTAAAGGAAAGCCTCCCGCTAAGCCATATCGATTTCTTGAAAAACCTGCAATTGGCTGAATTCACAATTGCATGCTAAATCATAAGATTTATACAAGATTTATACAACCCAAAGCGAACCAACTCACGCGGGTTTAAAGTGTCATGAGTCACCAGTCTGGGTAAAATCCCTTGAAGTTTAGCGGTCTGGTCACAAGCCAGCTTTTTACGATTTGACGGTAACCGTGATAGCAATAACATACCACTTCGTAGTGCTTAACTTAAGCGGTTTACGGAGTCAGCCTATGGCCCCCCAGCAATCTGGGTCCTCATTTTACCGACCTCAGGAGGATGGAAGGCTGAGTCAACCTTGAGCAGTCAGGATCGAACTGCTGGCAGTCGGCAGAATTAGCTTGCAATCCTGCATTCTAAAGGCTCTGTGGCTAAGACGTTGAGCTTGTCAATCAGAAGGTTGGCAGTTCAGCAGTTCGAATCCCTAGCGTAACAGAGTGAGCTCCCGTGACTTGTCCCAGCTTCTGCCAACCTAGCAGTTTGAAAGCACGTAAAAAATGCAAGTAGAAAAATTGGGACCACCTTTGGTGGGAAGGTAACAGCGTTCCGTGCGCCTTCGGCATTGAGTCTTGCCAGCCACATGAGCGTCTTCGGACAGCGCTGGCTCTTCAGCTTTGAAACAGAGATGAGCACTGCCCCCTAGAGTCAGGAACGACTAGAATATGTGCGAGAGGAACCTTTATCTTACTGCATTCTAACCACTGCGCCACCATGGTTCTTAATAACCCCTCTGCAAACTTTCTATCTCTCTCCGCCTTAAAAATGCTGCTCTCCCAGTCTGGTAAACTGGTCTGACTTTAAAAGTTAATCAGGGCGGGCGCTTTGCTGTGTCCTGCCGTGCCCTCATGAGTGATGTCTTTTGATAAAACCACAGCAAGTGAACGCTGATATTGCTCTGAACTCGGCGCCCTGCTTGCCTCGCCAGACAAAAAAAATGCAGAGGTTTGTTCCTTTAACTGACTTTTGAGTGAGTAACTTTGCAGTGTTACGGCTTATGAGCCAAGGTGGCGCAGTGGTTAAATGCAGCACTGCAGGCTACTTCAGCTGACTGCAGTTCT